AGTAGCTCTTGTAGACCAGGCTAGCCTTGAACTCACAGAGATCCCCCTGCCTCTGCCTCCGAATGCTGGGATTAAAGGCGCTCACCACCACTGCCGGGCTTAATGTAATTCTTATACAGAGCTACATCTGATTTTCCAGGAACAATTTTTAGGAGAGGCTGTCTTTTTTCTAGTGAATGCTTTTGACACCTTTATCAAAATAAGGGTGGCTGTAACTATGTGATTTTACTGTGGGGTCTTCTATTTTAGTCCATTAGTTTGCATATATTTTTAATGCTGGTATCTATTTTTCTTTTTCTTTTTTTCTTTTTTTTTTTTTTTTTTTGATTTTCGAGACAGGGTTTCTCTGTAGCTTTTTGGTTCCTGTCCTGGAACTAGCTCATGTAGACCAGGCTGGCCTCGAACTCACAGAGATCCGCCTGCCTCTGCCTCACAAGCGCTGGGATTAAAGGCGTGTGCCACCACCGCCGGGCTCTATTTTTCTTACTATGGGTTTGTAGTATAGTTTGTGACCGGACTTGGTGATACTTTTGATATTGTTCTTTATTGTTAAGTTGACTTTGGTTATCTATGGCCCTCAGTGTTTCTGCTTGTATTTTAGTTTTTATCTATTAGAAATGTCATTATAATATTGAAGAATTCAATCTGTGCTTTATCCAAAGAAAAGTAAAGACCCAGGACCACCCTAAGAAATCGTTTCTTTGTTCCTCAGAAGTTACCAAGAGTAGTTTTACTTTTGTTTTCTTCCTTTTACTGCAATAAGAGCAAAATTTTGGGGTCAGAAAACCTGGTGGGTTTAAGTCTGGGCTTCTTCATATTTTTGAGTTCTGTTGGACCAAACAGGCAACAGTCCTTCTAAGCATTTAGTTTCTCAGTCTGTAGAATTGAGATCCCAAATTCCTGCTTCTGTCCGTGCAGTGAAGACAGACCTCTGTGATCGTCTCCGACAGTCTGGAATGTTGGTGTCGCCAGTTGCTGCTGATTCTGAGATAGCAGAGGAACCGGTCTTGTGGGTGAGCAGACCAAGACTGCCAGTGCTTGAGAAAGCAGCCACAGGGATCCACCGAAAGTTAAAAATGTCCTTGACTAAACAGAAACATTATGGGTTGCCTCTGGGTTATAAACTTTTGTGTTGTAAATTATCTCACAGTAGCCACATGGCTAAGTATATTTAAGGAAACTGAGGCACAAGATTATCTGCTAAAGTTCATAGAGTAAAAATAGGAACTTGAACCCAAGCCTATGTCCCTAGTACTTTACCCATCCTATACATTGATGGCGCGCTGTATATCGGTGAGTATCTCCAGGAGACTTTGCACATATTTCTGTAATTGTTCTCATGCAGTAATTGTGTACAGTCATTTTATGAAACGTCTATGAATGGATTTTCCCCGTGATCGGTGAGGACGTCCCTCCATTTTTGCTTGACCAACGTGTACAAGATGGAACAACTCTGTATCACTCAGCAACACGGCTGCTTTACAGCACATGGTGAAAACTCATTAGCATGGCTGTTCGTTTGCTATAATCAGACTTTAGAAGCCCTGCACTTAGTCACATTTTCTTTGTGGAAGCCCTGTGCTGTCTAAAGGGAAAGAGACTGTGGTAGGGTCAGGTAACCTGGAGCTGACTAACTACTGCATTGTTGAACCTGCAGAACTTTTAAAATCAAGTTGTGTTTGCCTATGCAATTGGTCTTTAGGAACTTGATAATTTTTATTCAAAGTAGTATATAATGACACTGTTTAGTATATTTTTATATTTTTGTTATCAGCCATATTCTCAAAACTTGATAACAAAGTATTTTCATATCAAAAAGTATTGAGGGGCATTGCATGGAAGCTATAAATTATTTTTAGTAATATAGTTATTCTTACAATATTAATTTTGCTGGTCTATGAACATGTATTTTCTCATATTCAGTTTTATTTTCAAAATAATACTTTAATATTTTTTAGAATTTCATACAATGTATTTTGACTGTATTCAACCATAGCTCCGTCCACAGGCACCCTCTCTTCCCTATCCACCTCAACCAATGAGATAGAATCAACGATTAAAAATTTTCCAGCCGAAAGAAGTCCAGGCCCTTATGAAAACATTGCAGAATTCTAGCAGACCATCGAAGGACTGATACAAACACTCTTCAAATTTTCCATAAAATGAGAAAGGAAAACTTAAAAATTCCCTTTTTTGTGTGTTTTTTTGAGACAAGGTTTCTTTGTAGCTTTGGAGCCTGTCCCGGAACTAGCTCTTGCAGCCCAGGCTGGCCTCGCACTCACAGAGATCCACCTGTCTCTACCTGTGCCTCCTCCCGAGTGCTGGGATTAAAGGCGTGTGCCACCACCGCCTGGCTAAAAATTCCTTTTGTAAAGTCAGTATTATCCTGATACCAAAACCAAAGATCCAATAAAGAATAAAATTATCAACAATTGAAAAAAGATGCAAAAATTCCTAATAAAATACTTGCAAACAGAGCTCAAGAATAGCGCATGCTCTAATCCCTACCGACCCTCACGCCATCTCCACACACGGTGGCCTTCCTCTGACCCAGCAGCATAAGCACTGGCTGTCCCTGACCTCACTCGAGTCGAGCCACTCCGTCACAGGCCCAGCCTAAGGCGGGCTAGAGTCTCATAGCAGATGCAGCAGATGCACAAACACAACTCAAGGAAGTTCAGATGCCAGGATCACATTCCCAAGACACAACATAGACGACAAAGACAGTCTGTACCCACGCAGGCCTGCTAGTGGAATAGAAACAGTTCTCCAGTGAGAATTATGCAAATGAACCGCAAAACACAAAATTCAAAATAACAATAATAAATCCATAAAATAACTTAAAGTCACTTAAAAACACCTGCAAAAATAGTTCAATGAACTTTTTTTTTTTTTGATTTTTTGAGACAGGGTTTCTCTGTAGCTTTGGAGCCTATCCTGGAACTAACTCTTGTAGACCAGGCTGGCCTCGAACTCACAGAGATCCACCTGCCTCTGCCTCCCAAGTGCTGGGATTAAAGGCGTGTGCCACCACCGCCTGGCAAACACTTGTTGGCTTCAAAGATTTTTTTTTTTCCCGAGACAGGGTTTCTCTGTAGCTTTGGGAGCCTGTCCTGGAACTAGCTCTTGTAGCCCAGGTTGGCCTCGAACTCACAGAAATCCTCCTGCCTCTGCCTCTCTAGTGCTGGGATTAAAGGCATGCGCCAACACCGCCCAAAATATAGTTCAATGAACTTAAACAAGATAATAAGTGCCTGCCTGAGTGACGTCCAAGAAAACAGAAATGTAGTTAAAACACTAAGTAAACAGAACAAAGGCAGGGTACTGAATAAAAGTAAAAGAAAAACAAATCACACACAAATACATCTGAATACAACTGGGTTCTCAATAGAAAGCTTAAATAGCAGAAGAGTCTGGAGCTACACACTTCAAGTTGCCAAAGACCAGGGCTGCCAACTTAGACTACAGCACCCAGCATTATAGTTGAACAAGAAATAAAACTTTCTATAACATAAAAGATCTAAAAGAATTAAAGCAAAGAAGCTTCTTTTGCAGCATCAGAACATCACAGAAAGATACAACTGGCCGGGCAGTGGTGGGCACGCCTTTAATCCCAGCACTCGGGAGGAAGAGGCAGGCGGATCTCTGTGAGTTTGAGGCCAGCTTGAGCTACAAGAGCTAGTTCCAGGACAGGCTCCAAAGCCACAGAGAAACCCTGTCTCGAAAAACCAAACCAAACCAAAACCAAACCAAACCGAAAAAAAAAAAAAGAAAGAAAGAAAGAAAAAAAAAGACACAACTGGTCCAAATGCAAAGAGCAAAAACAGTTGGATACTCAGCCTTGGTGGATACTCAGCCCCCTTTGGTACATCTACAATACAACCCAGGCACAGAAAGCCCAACAAACATCATGGAAGAGGGATGGGAATTTGTAAGATCTGAAAGACCAGGGTATCTGCTTCGAGGTAGCATGCTGCATTGAAACTCAGCTGTATAAAGGCTATATATCACAAACACAGCCAACTAAATGCAGGTTAACTCAAAGCAGTCACACTAAGATCAGGAACAAGACAAACATGTCCACTCTCTCCATTACTCATCAATGTACTTAATGCTATAGATAGAACCTTGAGAAAAGAAGGAAATAAAAGCCAGACAAATTTGAAAAAAAAAAGATGAAAGCATCCTGTTTTGCAGATGATAGGATCCTATACATAAAAAAAAATCCTAGCGACTCCACCAAACTCTCTTAGAACTAATAAAAACCTCTAGCAAAGTGTCAACAATAATAGAAACAAGAAAGGTTATAAACTGAGGGAAACTGAACAACTCTCTGCTGAATAACTGCCGAGTTAAAGGCAGAAATAAAGAAATGAAAGACTTCCGAAAATTCAATGAAAATGAAGGCACAAACTTATGGGCACAATATTTCTCAAACTATTACGAAAAATAGAAACAGAACGAACACTGCCAAAATCTTTTTGAGGCCACAGTCATCCAGATACCAAAACCTCACAAAGATACAACAAAGAAAGAATCACAGAACCATTTCCCTCACTAACACTGAAGCAAAAATACTAAATAAAATACTCCCAAACCAAATCCAAGAAAACATCAACAACAACAAAAATCCACCATGATCAAGAAGGCTCCACCCCAGAGAGGCAGGAAGGGTTAAACTTATAAAAATCGGCGGCCTGAGCAGCCACTAGAGCACACTCACTCCCTTCCGCCGCGGCGGGCCGGCGCCCCCGGTCCTTCCGGCCCGCCCCTCCGCCCTCCGGGCCGGCCCCCCGGTCCTCCCGGCCCGCCCCTCCGCCCTCCAGGCCGGCCCCCCGGTCCTCCCGGCCCGCCCCTCCGCCCTCCGGGCCGGCCCCCCGGTCCTCCCGGCCCGCCCCTCCGCCCGCCCGGCCCGCGCTCGGCCCGGCCCGGCCCATCTTGGGGGCGGGCCTCCGCAGCCCGGACTCTGCTTCCTGTTCAGAGACGGCCTGGCGCTGAGATCGGCGGCCGCACTACCCGCGCCGCCTTGGTAAGGTCACCGACCCCCGGGAGGAGGCTCCAGGCCGCATCGGTCGCGCCGAGCCTGGCTGTGCGTCGCCATGGCCCCAGTGCAGCAGGAGAACCACCAGGTAATCCCTCCGGGCGGGGGCAGCGGCTCGGCGTCCGCCCCGGCTCCTCCGCCGCCGGGAGCCGCGCTGGCGGCGGCAGCTGCGGCCGCGGCTAGCCCTGGTTACCGGCTTAGCACGCTGATTGAATTTCTGCTGCACCGGGCCTACTCGGAGCTCTTGGTCTTGACGGACTTATTACCAAGGAAATCTGATGTGGAAAGGAAAATAGAAATTGTACAGTTTGCTAGCCGGACCCGGCAACTCTTCGTTCGATTATTAGCTTTAGTCAAATGGGCTAATGATGCTGGCAAAGTAGAAAAGTGTGCGATGATCTCAAGCTTTTTGGATCAGCAAGCTCTCTTGTTTGTGGACACCGCTGACCGCTTGGCCTCCTTAGCTAGAGATGCACTGATCCATGCGCGCCTGCCTAGTTTTGCTATCCCGTATGCCATTGATGTGCTGACTACTGGCTCTTATCCACGACTTCCAACCTGCATCAGGGATAAAATTATTCCTCCAGACCCCATTACCAAAACTGAGAAACAAGCCACGCTTCATCAGCTTAATCAGATTCTCAGACATCGGCTTGTCACAACAGAGCTTCCTCCGCAGCTCGCGAATCTTACAGTGGCAAATGGCCGCGTGAAGTTTCGAGTTGATGGAGAATTCGAGGCAACCTTGACAGTCATGGGGGATGATCCGGAAGTCCCGTGGCGCCTGCTCAAGCTAGAAATCCTAGTTGAGGATAAGGAAACGGGAGATGGCCGAGCTTTGGTTCATAGCATGCAAATCGACTTTCTGCATCAGTTGGTGCAGTCCCGGCTTTTTGCTGATGAGAAGCCTCTTCAGGATATGTACAACTGCCTGCATTGCTTCTGCTTGTCTCTTCAGTTGGAAGTGTTACACTCCCAGACTCTGATGTTGATCCGAGAGAGGTGGGGTGACCTTGTGCAAGTGGACAGGTATCATGCTGGAAAGTGCCTCTCTCTCTCAGTTTGGAACCAACAGGTTCTAGGGAGAAAAACAGGCACAGCGTCTGTTCACAAGGTGACAATTAAAATGGATGAGAATGATGTCTCCAAGCCTTTACAGATTTTTCACGATCCTCCTTTGCCAGCTTCGGATTCTAAATTAGTCGAAAGAGCTATGAAGATTGACCACCTGTCAATAGAAAAGCTCCTGATTGACAGTGTCCATGCGAGAGCCCACCAGAAGCTGCAGGAACTGAAGGCCGTTCTTAGAAGCTTCAATGCTAACGAAAACTCTTCCATAGAGACTGCACTTCCGGCTCTTATTGTTCCCATCTTGGAGCCCTGTGGTAATTCGGAGTGCCTGCACGTTTTTGTCGATTTGCATTCTGGAATGTTCCAGTTGATGCTTTATGGACTTGACCAGGCCACTCTGGAGGAAATGGAAAAATCTGTGAATGATGATATGAAGCGGATCATCCCTTGGATCCAGCAGCTTAAGTTTTGGCTTGGACAGCGGCGTTGCAAGCAGTCCATAAAACATCTGCCTACGGTAACCACAGAAACGCTACAGCTTTCCAACTGCTCGACGCATCCCGTTGGAAACCTCTCCAAGAACAAGCTGTTCATTAAGCTTACCCGCCTTCCACAGTACTACATAGTTGTGGAAATGCTTGAGGCTCCCGATAAGCCCACCCAGCTAGAATACAAGTATTACATCATGTCTGTGAGCACTCCAGATGGTGACGACAGCCCCGTCACGGCACTGCTCCTGCAGCAATTCAAGGACAACATCCAGGACTTGGTCTCCTCCACGAAGACTGGGAAACAGACCAGAACTGGTACCAAGCACAAGAGGTCTGATGACCCGTGTCCAGTCGAAAGCAAGAAAGCCAAACTGTCAGGAGACACGTGTGCCTTCGATAAAGTTCTAGCTCATTTTGTCGCTATGTGTGACACCAACATGCCGTTTATAGGGCTTCGAATGGAGCTGTCCAACCTGGAGATACCGCATCAGGGAGTACAAGTGGAAGGTGATGGCTTCAGCCATGCAATTCGCTTATTAAAAATTCCTCCCTGCAAGGGAGTAAACGAGGACACCCAAAAGGCCCTGGACCGCTCTCTTCTTGATTGCACTTTCCGATTACAAGGTAGAAACAACCGCACATGGGTGGCAGAGTTAGTGTTCGCAAACTGTCCACTTAATGGCACTTCCACCAGGGAGCAAGGACCATCCCGACGTGTTTACCTCACGTATGAAAATCTGTTGTCTGAACCTGTTGGTGGTAGAAAAGTAGTTGAAATGTTTCTTAATGACTGGAACAGCATTGCCCGATTATATGAGTGTGTGTTGGAGTTTGCCCGTTCTCTACCAGACATACCTGCTCATCTGAATATTTTCTCCGAGGTTCGTGTTTATAATTACCGAAAACTCGTCTTGTGTTATGGAACCACCAAAGGAAGCTCAATTAGTATCCAGTGGAATTCCATTCACCAGAAATTTCACATTTCTTTGGGAACAGTTGGTCCAAACTCTGGGTGCAGTAACTGTCACAATACCATTCTCCACCAGCTTCAGGAAATGTTCAACAGAACACCAAACGTGGTTCAGCTGTTACAGGTGCTGTTTGATACCCAGGCGCCGCTGAATGCCATCAACAAACTCCCTACTGTGCCGATGTTGGGCTTGACTCAGAGAACTAACACTGCCTACCAGTGTTTCTCCATTCTCCCGCAGTCATCCACCCACATCAGACTGGCCTTCAGGAACATGTACTGCATTGATATATACTGCTGTAGTCGAGGGGTCGTGGCAATACGGGATGGTGCCTATAGTCTTTTTGATAACAGCAAGTTAGTTGAAGGCTTCTATCCTGCGCCCGGATTGAAGACATTCCTCAACATGTTTGTTGACAGCAATCAGGATGCTCGGAGAAGATCTGTAAACGAGGATGATAACCCCCCTTCTCCTATAGGAGGGGATATAATGGACTCTTTACTATCACAGCTCCAGACATCTCAGCAACAGCCGTTTCCAAAGCAGCCGGGAAGTTCAGGCGCTTACCCTCTTACTTCCCCTCCTGCGTCCTACCACAGCACAGTCAACCAGTCTCCGTCTATGATCCACACCCAGTCTCCAGGAGCCCTTGACCCTAGTTCTCCGTACACTATGGTGTCACCGAGTGGACGAGCAGGAAACTGGCCTGGATCTCCTCAAGTGTCCGGACCCTCTCCAGCAACCCGTTTGCCTGGAATGTCACCAGCCAACCCGTCTCTACACTCTCCTCTTCCGGATGCTTCTCATTCTCCTCGAGCTGGCACAAGTTCCCAGCCAATGCCAACCAACATGCCTCCACCTCGCAAACTACCTCAGCGCTCCTGGGCAGCATCCATACCCACCATCCTCACTCACAGTGCCTTGAACATCTTACTGTTACCCTCTCCAACGCCGGGCCTTGTGCCTGGCCTGGCAGGCAGTTACCTCTGTTCGCCACTTGAGAGATTCCTCGGCTCTGTCATCATGAGACGACACCTTCAACGAATTATTCAGCAGGAAACGTTGCAGCTGATCAACTCCAACGAACCCGGTGTAATCATGTTCAAGACAGATGCCCTGAAATGCAGAGTAGCCCTTAGTCCCAAAACCAACCAGACCCTTCAGCTGAAAGTAACACCTGAAAATGCCGGACAGTGGAAACCTGATGAGCTTCAAGTGTTGGAGAAATTCTTCGAAACAAGAGTTGCAGGACCACCGTTTAAAGCCAACACACTCATAGCCTTCACCAAGCTGTTGGGAGCACCAACACACATCCTCCGTGACTGTGTGCATGTTATGAAGTTGGAGCTGTTCCCAGAGCAAGCGACCCAGCTACAATGGAATGTTCAGTTCTGCCTCACCATTCCTCCCAGCGCACCGCCGATTGCACCTCCTGGGACACCAGCCGTGGTGTTGAAATCCAAAATGCTCTTTTTTCTTCAGCTGACTCAGAAGACATCAGTCCCTCCCCAAGAGCCTGTCAGTATAATAGTTCCCATCATTTATGACATGGCTTCAGGTACCACCCAGCAGGCAGACATTCCCAGACAGCAGAACTCTTCTGCCACTGCGCCCATGATGGTCAGCAACATTCTGAAGAGGTTTGCAGAGATGAACCCACTGCGACAAGGTGAATGTACAATATTTGCAGCTGTTCGGGATTTAATGGCTAATCTTACACTTCCCCCTGGTGGGCGTCCGTAGACACTATTGTTTTTAATCCAGGAAGCTGACACACACACACACACACACACACACACACACACACACACACAAACACAGAGGCTGAATTCGGCCATCAGTTTTTAAAAGGAAAAGGACTTTCTTTCTTTCTTTTTCTTTTTTTTTAGATCGTAAGAGCTAAATATTTTAAACTGGCAACATTTTTCAGGGTGTACTACTTTTCATCCAAAAGACCATCAATCTTTTGAATAGTGAACTTGTATAGTATGTTTAAATGTGACATATTTCAAACTAGGTAACAGATCAGTGTCTGCTTGCCAGTAATAAGTTTAATATTTCATTTTATACTATAAAGTAATGAAAATGCCAAACTTGTTTGTTTAATTTTTCTTTTATGTTTTGGGTATAATGGTCTTTTTTGATTTTTTTTTAAGGCAGGTCTGTCATTTTTGAATACTGTAAAACTGTGACAAACTTTCTATTGAAGCTGTATTTTAATATGACCGCTTTGAATCCTTACACAGAAGGATTTTGGGAGCTGTTAAACATATCCCAAAGAAGCAATATTTAATAAAACTAGGATGTAAAAGTGACACTCACTCGTGTGTGTAAGCTCTTTAGAGTTCTTAGGGCCTCCCTTCATCTTTAACCTGGTGGGGCCAGTCAGTTTTTTAATTACGTATGTCTGAAATTTGGCCAAAAACATTTTTTTGTTTTAAGGTTAATGTAGTTTCTTCAGACATTCCTAAAATTTAGCACCTTGGTTGTCAGTATAGGATTTGGGTAAAATGAAAGAACTTTGTCTTTGTAAAGAGACAGCAAGTGATTTATAATGATCAAGGATCCCAAATAATACAATTATTCTCATGTGCGAAGAAATGGGAACCTTTTTGCTAGGAAAATGTCATGTAAAGGATACTTCTGCATACAGCATTAACTAGGAAGCAAAGAACTTGAATGCTCTAGTTTGCATGAAGTGTCGGTGACATTTCTTTATCTTATTTAACTTCTTACCTTCCCCAGCACAAATGGGGTTGTTCTAAACAATCTCAGTTTAATTCATTGTCAGCAAAGCAATAGGATATTTTTCTGGACACAGCCTGGTCCTGTCATTTGAAAAGTCCACAGTGCAGAGCCTGTCTAGAGTACAGTAGAGTTCTGGCACTGGTACCGCTCAATAGGATTTCTATCTAGAGTACTATACTGTCTCTCGCAGCCAGCCAGGGACTTTTTAAGCTTTGATGAATATGATCTGATTCAAATGTTTTTTAATGAATTGATGTTATTTGGAGCAGGTTTTTTTGTTTTTATTTTTGTTTTTTTTTAATGATACTATCATGCTGAGTTATATCTAGCCAATGTAATATGGTCCTTGATGAAATTTTAGATGTTTGTCTGATTCCATTTTAAGCTGATTAATTGAGATTCTATAACTGTAACCACCAGATTCTGGTTTTAAGCATCTCACTGCAACTGTATCATATTTGCTCAACTTTGCTTGAATCTCCATTTTCAGTCAGAGCTGAGGCCTTTTTTGTCCTCTGTGTGTCATTTCTGCCTTCACCTCCTGCTTTTTACCCAGCTCTGACACTTCTCCAGAGAGGGTGCCTAAACTCTTCTTCCTTTAACCTAACCCCTTTCTCCTTCTGTTTTCAATTCTCTTCACAGTGGTAATCACATGGGTTTGGCAAGCTAAGATGTCTTGATCAGGAGTCAGCCCTTTTCTTTTGGGAGCTAAATCCTATCTTTCATATAGAAATCTACATGTATATACAAGAAATGTATTTTTATCGGCAGGATGATATTTTTTCAGATAATTTTATGAATAGAATTAACTTTTCAGGTATTTTCTCTTTTAAGTGTGGTTTTGAAATGTTAATTGCATTTTTATACATGATGCATTCAATGGCTACTTTTTCCTAATTCGAACACCTTTGAATGCATTGTGTAAAACGAGTAAGATAGAATTCAATGAACAGAATTTGATTTTGATGCTTATTAAGAGTAAACCAATGAATTTGAATTTTGATATCATGCTTGGTACTTGGAATTGGTATATTACTTTATTAAAGCTTGGAAATACTTAGCATTTGAATCGTAACTTTCATCACAAACCATGTCTTTTGCCTCTTTTGTTAAGCAGGTTCAATCAAAGAAACTGGATGCCATAGTGATTTTTCTCTAGTAGGTGATTTGGAACTTGATTTTAATAAGGTGTTTTCAATGTGATTTTAGTATTTACAGTAATAAATAAAATTTATACAAGCTTCAGAGAAAAAAACCATATGAAAATCTGTCAATGTAATTCACCATATAAACAAACTGAATGAGAAAGAAAAACACATAACCATCCCATTACATGCGGAAAAAGTCTCTGACAAAATCCAACACCCTTTCGTGATAAAAGTTGGAGAGATCTTGGATACAAGGGGCAAACCTAAACATAATGAATGTAATAATCAGCATTCCAGCAGCCACCAAACATCAAATCAAATGGAGAGAAACTCAATGCATTCCCACTAAAATCAGGAAAAAGATAAGGCAGTGCATTTGGTGCATTCAATATAGTGGGTTTTTGATCCTACTGCACGTACTGGCTTTGTGGGAGCCTAGGCAGTTTGGATGCTCACCTTACTAGACCTGGATGGAGGTGGGTGGTCCTTGGACTTCCCACTGGGCAGGGAACCCTGATAGCTCTATGGGCTGACAAGGGAGGGGAACTTGATTGGGGGAGGGAAATGGGAGGAGGTGGCGGGGAAGAGACAGAAATCTTTAATAAATAAATAAACGGAAAAAAATTACATATAAAAAATAGTACTTGAAGTTCTAGCTAGAGCAATAAAGACAACGAAAGGTACGGGAACCCAAAAATGTGAACCTGTTTTGCCTTGTTTGAAGGTCAGAGAGTTTGAGCTTATTTTTGCTCTTTCAAAGTTGCTGCCCACAGGTGTGGCTACAAAAGAAGATATCCTGACCTAGGATGTGGTTACTTGGTGTTTTGAACATTAGCCTGTTCAGGTGGGTCCGTTCCACCCTCAAAGGTCAGAGAATTCAAGCTTACTTTTGCTTCTTCTTTTAAAATAGGAGGTTTGACTTAGGGCGTGGTTGCCTGCAGTAAACTTGGTCTAGGGTGGGTTCACTGCCCAAGCATCCAATACTTTACTTTGGAGTTAAATGGCTTGCTGTCTCAAGTATTGGAGCAAGTACCTGTTCTGGTTGCCCCTTGTATCATGTTAAAGCTGTGTTTTGCCTTCTTTCCCCCTTTGGTATTGGGGTAAAAGTGTTTGAAAACTAAATGTGTGCTAACTCAGAATTCAGAGAATTCAGCATTCAGGATCTGCTGAGTTGCCCTCCTGGTACTATCCCGTGTCTCTGTGTGTCTTCTTTTCTCTGCACCTCCTACCTAACATTTCTAATCCTCATGCCCCTACCCTGGAATGTACGAACCTGCTGTGGCTGGGATGCAACAGAAGTCACCCTAAAATGGTGACTCATGACAAAAAGGCGATCAAGGGGATACAAGTTGGAAAGGAAGAAGTCAAAGAATCGCTATTCACAGATAATATAATAGTATACATAAGCAATCCCCGAAATTCTACCAGGAAACTCGTGCCTTTGATAAACAACGTCAGCAAAGTGTCTGAGAACAAAGTTAACTTAAAAAAAAATTGTAGCCCTCCTATATACAAATGACAAATGGGCTGAGAAAGAAATCAGGGAAATACACCCTTCGCATTAACCTCAAGTAATATAAAATATCTTGAGATGACTCTAACCAAGCGAGTAAAAGACCTGTAAGACAAAGAACTTCAAGTCACATATATATATATATATATATATATATATGTATGTATATATATATATATATATATATATATATATACATATATATTCCCTCTCCCATCCCTCCTCCTGCTCTCCCCACCTTCCCCCAACCCCACTCCCCAGCCATTCCTTAGAGAGGGTGAGGCTTCCCATGGAGAGTCAACAAAATCTTCCACGTCACTTGAGGCAGGATCAAGGCCCTCTTTTCTGTATCTAGGCTGAGCATAGGGAATAGGGTTCAAAGAGCCAGTATGTGCACTTGGGATAAATACTGGTTCCACAGCCAGTGTCCCCAAGTCACACAACTGTCACCCACATTCAGAGGGCCTAGTTGAGTTATATGCAGGTTCCCTATCTGTCACTCCAGAACCAGTGAGCTCCCGTTTGCTCAGGCCAGCTGTTTCTGTGGGTGTCCCATCATGATCTTGACCCTTTGCTCATATTATCCCTTCTCCCTCTTACAACTGGACTCCAGGAGCTCGGCCCAGAGCTTAGCTGTGGATCTCTGCATCTGCTTCCAACAGTTACTGGATGAAGGTTCTATGGTGTCAGTTAAGGTAGTCTGCTTACAGCAAAAGGGTGGCTAAGGCTTCTTCTCCACTATTGCTTAGGGTCTTAGCTGGGGCCATCCTTGTAGATTCCCGGGAATTTCCTTAGTGCCAGGTTTCTCACTAACATCATAACGGCCCCCTCTATAAAGATACTTCTTTCCTTGCTCTCCCTCTCTGTCCTTCCCCAAGTCCACCTTCTAATCCCTCATATTCTTCTCCCCCTTCCCTTCCCCCCCTCCCCAGTCCCTTTAAACCCTCCCCTCCCCCTTTCAAAAAACCACTTTACTCAGGAGATTTTTGTCTATTTCCCCTTCCCAAGGGCATCCATGGATGTTTCTCTTAAGGTCCTCCGTGTTTCCTAACGTCTCTGAGGTTGTGGACTGTAGGCTGGTTATCCTTTGCTTTATCCATTTATGAGTGAGTACATACTGTGTTTGTCTTTCTGGGTCTGGGTAACCTCACTCAGGGTGATTTTTTTTTCTAGTTCTATCCATTTGCCTACAAATTTCAAGATGTCATTTTAATTAATTAATTAACTAATTAATTTTTTTTACCCTGAGTAGAACTCCATTGTGTAATGTACCACATTTTCTTTATCTGCTCTTAGGTTGAGGGGCATCTTGGTTGTTTCCAGGTTCTGGCTATTATGAATAATGCATCTATGAACATAGTTGAGCAAATGTCCTTGTGGTGTGAGTATACATCCTTTGGGTATAAGCCCAAGAGTGGTATTGCTGGGTCTTGAGGTAGATTGAGTCCCAGTTTTCTAAAAACACTGCCATAATACAGTGATATTTTATTTGTATTTTAATAAATAAAGCTTGCCTGAAGTTCGGAGGGTAAAACAGTCCCACTGATAAGCCTTACAGACTAGGCAGTGGTAACACCTTTAATCCCAGTAGCCATGCTAGTTTGCCATAGAAGCCAGGCAGCAGTGCTGAACGCCTTTAATCCCAGCCCTAGAGAGGAATATAAAACAGGTGGAGACAGCTCTCACACACAGTCTCCTTCTGGGATTCCTGGAGCAGGATTGCCATGGCACTTTAAACTGAGGTAGAGGTAAGAACCAGTAGATGGCTGTTTTGCTTTTCTGGCCTTCAGGTTGAATCCCAATATCTGTCTCTAGGTTTATATTAATTGTTCTACAAATAGCAACCAAATGTTTGGCAAGAATTTCCACATAAAGCCCGAGAAAGCTTTAAAAAAAATTTTAGACAGACAAGAACAGAGTCAAGTGCAGCTTCTTGGTAACTGTCTTTTCTCCGGTAGGCTCTGTTTGCTGGCAGCTAGCAGAGACATGACTCCTTTAGGAAAGGCTTCTTGACTCAGCATTAGCAGCAAAAACTGCTTGGCAGTGCTTTTAAGAGGTCCTGCCACAAAACACTTAAGTGGTATTTATGAATAGCCAGTGGTATGCTTCTTGGTGGCATGGACCTAGAAATTCCACAAAGTTGTGGCAATAAATGTGGCTCCTGCCTGTACCTCCACCATGAAGTTAGACTCTCAGAAAGCTAAGGTATGGGGTGGAACTAGTTACCAAAGCCACAGCTTTAATCCTAACCATGTAGCAGATTTAAGACTCATGTACTCAGAAAGAGATACAGTAAAGACAGATTCAGATGGAAAAAAAAAAACCAAACCTCTAAACAATTTGTAGTGTGTTTTAAAATGTACATAGACTTGGGAAAGAAAATAAAAGAGAAAGTCCTCAGGAGAAAATAAAAGAAAGAAAGAAATACAGTAGCCAGGCGTGGTGGCACACACCTTTAATCCCAACACTTGGAAGTCAGAGGCAGGTGGAGCTCTGTGAGTTTGAGGCCAGCCTGCTCTGTAGAGTGAGTTCTAGAACAGCCAAAGATACACAGAGAAACCTTGTCTCAAAAAACTAAAAAGTTAAAAAATAAAAATAAATAAGAGTAAGAAAAAAAGGTCACTTAAAGATGGAAAGTATACAGAGACTCTGGATGCTGTATATTATTGGGTTGTCTTTGAATTGCTTGACTGCTGAGGAAGGAGCAAAAGCTACTAAAAAGACATTTGACTATAAATGATGCTGGATTAATCCAATCTATATATTTTGGAAATACCTTGACTTCAAAATTAAAGTTTAAAGATATGTTACTTTTGGAAAGAGGTTCTGTTTTTGCTTCCACAGAAAATAAGAGGTGGTGGGATTCATTCTAGGTTAAGAAAAATAAGGTTTGATTGAGGAAGACCCCCTTGAAAAATCTCCAATGGGTGATGGCCCAGATGATCTAATCTTTCAGAGCACCTCTGTTGCAGTATCCTCTGAGTTCTTCATTTGGGACAGTCTCAAGACTGCTGGCTGAAATGATCAAGCTTCAAAGAATATTCCAGACAGTTCCTGACCATAATCCTAAATTTTCTTCGGGTTTTCATAAGATTAAAAGTGCCCCCAATGAGCAGGAAGCAGCCTAGAAAACTATACCCACATTTCCTCCCTCCCCTAAAAGGGATTATAGGTGTTTGTCTTTGTTTAGTGTGTTGGTTACAAATTGTTATGGATAATGGTAATAAATAAATAAATAAATAAATAGCCAAGCAAGGGAGAATAGATTTAGGGTCTTGTTTTGAAAAGAAAAAAAAAGTGGGGGGGGGGGACTGCTGTGGGATAATGCTTTTGTACACTGTAAAGATTTATCACTTGTATTGGTTTAATAAGATGCTGATTGACCAGTAGCCAGGCAGG